CGTTTGCCCGTGCCCGGGGAGGCCCTGCGGCTGCGGGCCCTGCGGCCCCGCTCTCGTCCGGACGCGAACCCGCAGTTGAGGTCCGGACGGCCCTTGCCTCTTCCTTCGGATCGCGGGTGCTGGGAACTGAAGCCACAACTTCCAGGAGCTCTCGTCGCCGTGAAGCCTTAACCTGCAGTCCCCTCCCGGCTCAGTTCGTAAGGGCAAAGCTGAACCGGGCTCTTGAGACGCGTTCGTGTTTCATTAAAGCGAAACGAAAATAAACACCGCTGATTGTGAATTATTACAATGTACCGCTAATCTTTCTTCAGTCAACCTAGATGTTGAAAATGGTGATAACAGGTCAAATAGTTTCAAGCTCGGGTGGGCCGTTAAGCAGCAAATAATATTAAATATATTATATCAAAATACGATGTTTTAGATTTTGTCTTGGTTCACAGGTGAGGTAAAAAGTCCTTTTAAGTACTGAATGCAGCAGACAGTCCCATGTAGCTTCAGGAATACCCATGTATGGAATGAGTTTGCCATCAGATTAAGTGAGGGTCTGCAGTTTTCTTTAAGAAAGATAGTTAGCAGCTGGTCTTACTGCCTCCCAAACAGTTCATCCAGCTCCTGGCTTCTGTCAGAAAAAAAAGGGGCAGCTCTCTAGTACAAAACATACTGTGAGGGTGGGTAGCTGGGGCACTGTTCAAACCAGGGCTTGCTTGCCAAGAACAACATCAGATGGTGAAGAGAGACAGTTGTGAGTGCAGGTTCCCAGCGTTAGGAGAAGCAAGTGATCTCTGGCCAGACTTCTTTAGTAGTCTGTGGAACTTAGGGACAGATTTACTCATGCTGGGTCAATGTCTTTTAAATGTGGTTCTATGCTCAACAAGTGGGAGTGAAATTCAGGATTATTTGTAAGGAGAGGGAGGCACAAGTTAGTGTGTTCACCTCCCCTTTTAAGCTAAGACAAGGTTTTTTACAATGCCAACTCAACGGCCTGTTTCAACAACTTTAGGAAAAATTGTTTCACAATTAAAGCCATGCGAAGTAATTTGAATTGAGATGTTTACTTTAGCTGTAAATTACTCATGTGCCATCACCTGAGTGGTCAGTTTGTGATACTTGGGGTGCAGCGTCCCAAAGAATGGAGCGTTCACAGTCGTCACTGAAACAGCCTATTTGGTTGTGCTAATAGATTTTGGAAAGAGGATTATAGGATTAGAAATGAGAAGGCTCTGAACTGCAATTGTATTTGGCCACTGATTTGCTGTATAATTCTGAAAAAGCAATTTTGCATTTGTCTCTCCATCTGTTAGGCAGGAGTATTGGCTCTCACACTTCTAAGTATCTTTTTTTCAGTTGATGTCCACAAACTGTTAAAAGTTTTCTAAAAAACATTTTCTATAGCTTTTTGTAGTTTGGATGGCATGAGGAAGGTGAGTAGAGCTGCTGGTGGTGCCTGTTTATTTTAGGCTTTTTTACAGCTCCTACAAAATGAGAAGCTGAAATAATGTCAGCCAAGTAGCATATCAGTTGGTAGCTAAGGGTTCACATCCTTCATTACAGACTTTCTGAACAATCGTGCCACTTAGAGCATTTCTCAAAGGATAGAATACACAAATGCTACTTAAGTTACCCAGGCAAAAAAATTAGTCCTGGAATGGTAAAAATTCAGATCTGTAGTAGTTCCATAATTGTATGTGGTTTTTATTTATCTCTCTTCCACAGATGTTATGTGGGCAGAGGATGAAAAGGAGAGGAATTATGAGGAAGGTGCAGCTAGAATGTAAAATGTTTAGGGGGCAAATAGGACCAAATCACTCACGAGCAAGAATCCATAACGCTGAAAATTGAAATTAGACTGAACTAAAACACACTGAAATAACTAAGATTCAGCCTCCAATTACATTTTCAGCTTCTGGTTTCTTTCAGGTTTTGTGTTTAGGTTGCCCCTTCCAGAAATTCTTCAGTCTTCTTCAAGTCCCCACAGTAGGAGCATGACAACTGATGTCACCTGTGACTGTGTCCATTGTACAGTTATGAAAATAAATAATTTGCAGTTGTGAGTGACTGAATTTGCTTAACTCTTTGGGACTCTTCCAGGAAATGAGACTGTCAGATTCCTGATATGCAACAGGAAGAGATGTATTATTTAGATCAACTGCAGGATAAATCTTACAATTCATGCATGTTAACAACTGTCAGACTTTGTAGTTGCCTGTATGGGAGTTACAGCATTGGTCGCTGAATTTAGGACAATAGCTTTTCAATAATGACAGGTTAGAGAGGAGTCTTGGAAAACTACTATTGAGGAAGCTGTGTCTGCTCGGGTCAAGGCAATACATGCTGAGGTGAGCTGGCTGACAGGTAACTTTTCCAGATTCTGACAGCACCAAAGTCAGTTTCCCAGTCTTGAAATGCTAGCTGTTTTTTTAGTTCTGCAGGTGCTGTGTTGCTTTTATCATGCCATGTACAAAGGCCAAAAAAAAAAAAAGAAAAGGCACAAAAAAGAGCAAACCTTAAGAGTAATTGCTACTGCTTATGCAAAGTATCAACAGTTGGAAACTTTACTGGTAGAGATGAAGTAGATGACTCAGCTGTTCCATAATATTTATGAGTCTCTAGCTAGCAAAGGAAAAGTACAAGATGGAAGTATCATTTTACAAGAAAAATAAAATGAAAACACATACTCTTAAACAAGAAAAAAAGGAAGTGAGAAGCAGGCTGCTTTCTCTTGTTTAACAGTGCAAATGGACACAAGGCCTTATTGCAGGCACTGCTCAGAGCATCTGCTCAGTAACACCAAGGTCTTTCTGTGGTTTGAGTGAATTCCATGCACCTGACACTAGAGAGGTTTTATCTACAGTGTCACCATATTTCTAGAGTTCTGAATCAACCAGGGTGGGCATACCTGGATACACACTGCTGAAAGCTATCAAATGACATTTAAGATGCAAGTTAAGGAGACAGTTGTCTCAGTCAGTTTAATAAGGCTGATTATGCATTTAAATACTTGCATTCATTCAGTTGCAGCTCATCAGATTATTAACTTGGTGCTTGAAATCTGTACCAGTAGCTTAAGTTGGAGTGGGGGGCTGAACATGTTAGTCGCAGAGGCTGAGAGTGGACCGAGTTCTTTCTGAATAGCTGGCACAGTTTATTTAACTCACCACATTTGTGAGGAGCCATATCCTCACCTGTCCGGCCTCCTCTGTTCTCAAGGACTGGATTTGTCTTTTGTAGGAATAATAGCTGAACTGCCCACTAAGCTGTTATTGAACTGTCACACTTTGCAGCCCAGTTTATTTAGGTAAGTGACGGTGTTTTACTCCTATACCCCTGGGAGAGAAACTGCAGCAGTTTCGTTATTGCTCCATATCCCACTTGTAGTGGAGGCAGCAATCTTTATAAGAGCATCACAGTGAAGACATTGAACCTGATCTAAAAATG